CAGGGAAGGTCTTGTTGAAACCCAATAAATTGGCTCTCTAATAGGCGATAGACATCTTTAACATCTTAAATATTTGACCCTATGGCCTTACAAAGCACGTTTTCACTCTAACAAACCTTAATATGCACAGGGTAGTTTGGGTTATCATCTGTACTATACTTAACCGTCTCTAGACATCTTGGTTTAAGGAAATACAGCATTTGAAAATAAATTCATTTGGAGGAGTTCGGTACTTTGTACTGTACAGAGAGTGACAGTCTAAAAGTAGCTCTTTCTTTAAATCTTAGATGTTTCTGTCTTTGAAACCATGAATTTTGGAGGTATGTGTAAAGAAAGAGATGACTACCATTGAATTTTGACCTGAGACCTTCATGTTGCTTAAATTTACCCAAATTGATGGATTTAGCTCTACTTGAGCTCTTGTTAAGGTACACTATCTCACAGTGGGTTCTACTCTGATTTTTCTTTCCAAGTTAACACCAGTGTAAATAGAAAACATGCACTGTAAGTGAACAATATGGGGGGTGGTGACGATGGGGTGTAATCTATAAAACCCAAATGTGGCTATAAGCAGCCACAAGTCTATTATGTGAAGTGGTTATGTCATCTTACACCAGCAGAAAACTCAGCCCTTTATATTTGACTCCTTAATCTCACCTTACATCAGATGTTCAAAGGTTCAGATGAATAAGATATGTCTCTATAAAGTGTGTTTTAAATTAAGAGCTAGTGAAAAACATGTCTCTCGATTTCTGGATGCCAGTCTTGGAAAATGTGTTTCAACTGGAAGCTGCCCTCCTCCTATTTTGCTCCACCCTCACCAAACAAGTATGCAGTGATGTCGGAGCTGACATTTTCAAGAAATGCAAAAACCTCTTTGGTTTGTCTTCCCTGTTTTGTTCTGGGTGCTGTGAGGTGGCTATGATAGGGCAGTATGTAGTAAGCAGAAATATTTCTTGAGGGCATGGGAAGGATGTTCTCTTGTTTGAAGGGAACGAAGACTTCCAAGACTGATTTTAATTTTATTTGTAATGTTCATGAGAACCATGCCTGGCTGAATTTGGAGTTTGGATTTTTGGCAGGTTTTTATTTGAGGCCAGCTTGGCTGTTTTTCAAAATGTCCAGATTGCTCACATTAAATCTGAATAAGCACTACCCACTAGTTTAATCAGAGTCATCTGGTACACCTCTAATTAGTGTTAGTTAAAGTTGAAATTCATAATAACACAAAATGCTGCATTTTGGGGATATATTTAGTAAACTCCTGAATGCAAAATTGTAAAAGGGAAAAGATATTTTGAAATGTTATTAAAAATTAGAATACATGAATTATGATGACAGCACCACTATGTATCAAAATAAAGCTAAGTTCTTGAAAGAAGCCAAGAAAACTAGTCTTTATGCATTTAGGCATGCATTCATGTATTCAATGTGTGTAGATCCAAATGCGTTTATGAACTTTAATTCTTGTCCCTGCTAATCTAATAATTGACTCTAACTCTACATTGTGTACAAATCAGTAAAACATGTACATGTCTAGGAGTATTTCAGAAATTGTCAAATAAACATGTGACACTTGTTTTAGATATAAATTATTTCTTAGTCCTAACCCATTGAAATAAATGATATGCAAGTTTTTCCTGAGTCAGAACCAGACCATTAGCATGTTACTGCAGATTGTCAAAAAATGAAGCTTGAAAATTATTATACTTGTGCCATTATTGCTTTGAAAAGATCAGGCCACTCTACAAATCTAATTTTTTTGGGTATTATGAACTATATCTATGTAATGCTTGTTTATCTTGAATTCTTCCCTACATTCTTGTCTTTAAAAATGTTTTAACTTTTATTATGTCAAGACATAGACCAATTAAACCAGAAAGCTCTGCAATTTGATAAAAAATAATATAATTAAATATTATATTAAATTTAATATAATTAAAATATTCCTCAAATTAAGAAAGCTGGATTTATGATTTTGAGTTTTCAGGTGTCACTTCTAAAACATTGAGAACTGTGAACCATACACTTATATTTTGCAGATGAGCTATTGTTTTTATGTGTGTAATGTAACAATAGCATAAGAAAGTATCTAAGTGTTTCAGATTTATGTCTTACCTGAAATGTTTTTGTTTCTCAATCATGGGTCAATTGATGCTCTGGACACAGAAATATCATTTACATTATTATTTTTTTTTCCTGGACACATTTCAGCTTCACTATTCAAGGACTGAATGCATCATGATTACACAGGTTTTTTTTCAAGGGCATCTGTTCTTAGACACAGCTGAGGATGGGGCCCACTGAGCCGACTGGAAGGATCCACCTAGAATTTGTTGAATTAAGTCCTTGCACCTGGATATAATTGTCATGCTGCTGTGCTGGGGTTTTCTTAAGCTACTGGTAAAACAAATTAGCTCAATTTAAACTGGCATCCAGTAGGGAAGCAACAACTCACCTCATATAATGTTTTTCAAATAATTATTTTTCTATTGCCAGTTTTGCTTCATGAATATTTTCCTAAAGGCAGGATGAATAGTTGGATTTTTTTTTTTAAGTTAAGCACAAGAAGCAACAAAAAACATTCTCTTCTGCATATCTGCTGAGTTACAACTAATATTAGAGTAGTATGTGATTGATTTTTATGTGACTATATCTTAGAGATATATATCTAGATATATATTAAAAAGAAGGTAACAGCAGATAGAACAGATTTAAAAAAATGCAGTGTAACAGTAACATCCTCTACACTCTCAAAACCCCCAGCCTGGTCTCAATATGTATACTTCATGTACCTTTTGCCAGATTTAGCACTGTAATGGTATAGCCGCTTCTACATTTGGGAAAGATTCATGCAAGTTTGTTTTTTTTGTTGAACAGTAGACAAAGGTAGTCATTTATGTCTGGCATGGGAATTTGTATAAATACCATGGGATCTCATTTCCTTATGTATTTTAGAGCTGTTGGAGCTTGGTAACAAAATTCACAAGCTTCCTGGAAGGTCCACAAAGGTTCATCATCTCAGTTGGACTTGCAGTGGCAGGACTTTACATGAATCCCTGGAATGTGTGCATCTGTGTTAGCTTCAGCTTTTAGTAATATTCTCCAAATGTAGGCTCTGGGGGAAAACAATGAAAAATAATTTATTCAGCTGGACATTTCAAGATGACTTCTGAAATGGAAGAAATAGTACTCTCTAGCAGTGCTCTAAATATTACCGTTATGTATTATTAGTATGTGAGATGCTATTTTGGAGAAGAGAGGGATATGCTTGCTAGGCATGGATGGTAGTTTTAGATGTGTCTCCAGAATAACTCCAGTGTAGCTCTGCTTTAGCTGCTGACCAAAGATACCGTTCCTGTGACGTGGTCGTGCCACTGTGGATACCAGCTTACATGGCTTTCTAAGATGCTGCTCAGTTGATTAAAAAATATCAACATGGATTGAAGTTGCTCCTAGTTTATTACATTTTAAAGAAAATATTTTGTGAGATCAGAAATAAAGATGGACTTCTAATTATTCTCTTGGAGACTGTGGCAGAAAAATAGATGTACATATATATTATCATACCATTCTCTAAGCCACACTCTCTTTTAGTATTGGGTAGATGCAAATGCAACAGGGATGTGAATTAGGAAAGCAGTGTTTTTTTGAAGCATGGAAAAGTATCCAGAGATCAAAAGTTAAATGTAGAAGCTGCTGTCAGTCCTTCAGCTGTGCAGTGAATTTCAAATTTTGGAGAGTGTGTCTATAGCGGCTGTTGATAACAGTTTAAATTGTGCAAGTCTTAGCTCAAGGTGAACCATTTGTGTCACAAACTCTGTTACCTGAAAAGCTGTGTTTGTGGCACTGAGACTAGTGGTAAAGTGCTAAATGCATACAGTTCTGCATCAAGGCAGCTTTTGAACAGCAGCTGGTTCCGAACTGGGGACAGTTTAAAGGTGTAGGGTAGTGGGGTGTTTTTAAATAACCAGTGTTATAAAGCAAATTTTGTTTTTTTAACTGATAGGCCTGGTTCTTGCTTGCAGTACAGCCTGTTTTCTCCGCTCCAGCAGCATAATGGGCACTCCCCCCTGGTGTGGATTTGCCATCAGTGCTCCGGTTGGAGGCTTGTGCAGACACAGGGTGCAGAAAATTCATAGACCAAAAGGGGCCAGCACATAAAATAACATTGACTGACTTATTATCTGTCTTCTGTGGAAGAGGAGGCTGCAGCAGAGAGCTCCTAGACCATAACTCCTTGTACCAGTACACACCCAGAGCAAAGTTTTTCTTCCAGCTGCGATAACCCTGAATCAATGCATATGAGAATGCGCAAACAAGTTACTTTCATACAATATACCTTTTCATAAGTGTATTTTTCTTGAGCTTCAGGAAAAAGAAAAGAATTTCACTCTTCCTCAAAGTTGTATAACAACTATGGTCTGTGTAAGGGCTGCCTTGCCTCTTTTCTGTGCTCCCTCTCCTGTCCCAGCTTCCAGGGAAGAGAGAATAAAAAAAACCAGCAAACTGAAACTGAGCTTAATAGCTTAATATTCCTTTTTTTTTTTTTTCCCTTATGTGATGATAATCCTGGGCCTGCACTTAGAGAGAAGCTTCCAGTGGGAAATTAAGCGAAACTGAAAAGCATAACAAAACCCAAATCATCTAGACTGCAAGAATTCCTCATTTTTTATTCTTTAACGCTTATTAATAGAGACAATACTAAACCCAAAAGGAAGCTAGCAATATCCTGTTCTTTTTCTTTTTTGTTATAGCTTGAATATTTGTTTAGTAAACTCCATGTCAGATCTTCTAATTTAATTGTTGATCTCACAATGTGAATAAACGTACAGACATGACTAATAGCGTTCTCTTATAATTTCATTACAGGGTAATGGACATGTGGTTTTTAAAACTGATTTTTTTTTTTTATTTTCTGTTACAGAGTGTTTATAATATAAATGAACTCTCACATCCTGCTTTCTTTTCCTCCTTACCCTTTTTTCATTTCTTTTTAGATTTGATTCATAGGAAAATGCGTGTGATGTGTGCCACTGATTTGGGTCATCTGCATGCAATTCAAAAAGAAAAGGTGATTTTTATTTTTTTTTTATTGCCTGCCAAGTAAGTAGGAGAGGTGTAGGAAAAAGTGGATTTATGCATAAAACGCAAAACTCCAGATGAAAGAATGGACCTCTTTTATCATAGTAGAAAGAATCCATCTGCAATAATTACCAGTCAGACGATCCACACACTGTTACTTCGTGACATAGGAGAACTGCTGCACTTCTTGAACCAATAGCCGCTATATAGCAACCAGCATCAATCCTGAATGAAAAAATTGGCCCAACCACTGGTGAATGGCACTCAGTAGGTTTCCCATTGAACTATGCTGCGAAACAATGATGCACATTGGTAAATCACCGTGTGCGCCTTTCAGTTCTTATGCATATCCCATACTGGACAGCTTCCATTCACTCTGGCACCCACTGCAAACAAATGTAACTATGCATCAGAGATGAAAGTGAAAATGCATATGTTAAATCCCAAATGGAAGCAGAAGAGTGTAATATATACATAGTTGCTTAGCAACAAACATGTTTTGGCCACAGGAATGGTGACATCAGTCAGAGGAGCCAGAGGGAAGCTGTTCTGCCCTCCCTGTCTCTTTCCGCAGAAGCTTCCTAAAGATGGTTCCTTATTTCTTTCAAAGCAGAAGAGGGAGGGCTCTTGTAGGCAATTTGTTTATGCTGTTAATTCAACGAATGGCATGACAATTGGACTTTTATTTAAGCAGAGAAACCTGTTTTCATTTTGGGCATTCTTTGCACCGATGCACACTTTCCCATACAGCCAGGTGTTTGATCCTCACTTTATGGCTCACTGCAGTCCCTCTTAGCTGAAATGCTCAGAGAAATGAAGTGCGAAGTCCGAAACTACAAACTGATGTAATTAAAAAATATTTTTTGTGTCACTCACTTTGATTTTGACCGTATCATGCCTTTCACTTCTGCTTCTAGCTTTTATTCTATGGCATTTTGCATTCATCTGGCTCTGCACTTTTTCAGGAAGTCTAGCAATGTTTATTTCAGTACATCACAGTGGCTATGGCTAGTAGATAAGTACTAAGTAATTCCTCCTGTTTTAGATGGTCTGAATATCTCTCCTTTCCCTCCCTCCTCTTCCTGCATGCTCTGGTGTGCATGCTGTGCCTTCTGCAATGGGAGGCAAAGGAAAGAGCTGGCAAGTCCTGGTTCAAGTTACACGCACCCCGGCATGCAAGTGGCTCTCATTGACACAAACGTGAGCTCTGTGCATAGCTGACACATAATGTGCCTCATGCTTTCAGCAGGCTGCTTGCTCCACTGGACCATAACATCTTTCACATATAGAAATATTGCACACTCGGGTTAAAATCGATCTGCCACCCTGAATTGCTGCAGACACATCCCTGAATACATTATTTTTGAGTGTTTCCTTTTAATTTAAGGTAATGAATGTACTTTGGTGGATCCCCAGTGGGGGGAAAGAACATTTCAGGCATACACTTCTCTTTGCAAAGGCAGCTTTCTTGACAGTGTGAGAGACGTGTAGGAATGCGAGATATATTGAAGAACTCGAATGAAATTAAAATCACGGATGAAAGCAGGGTTAAAGGACCATTATGGTAAAATAAGGCCTTTATTTCCATTCATGGAGCTATTATGCAGATGGTGTTTTACTTGCTCTCATTTTCTGTGAATTCATAGAGACCCTTTCCCAGGTACTAGCACATATCAAATTGACAAGATATAACCAATAATATCTTGCACTTACCATCAGATTGATTTTTGAAAAAACGTGTGCCACCCTGAAAATATGGAGGAACTTGAGACAAGTTGTGGTGGTGTCTCTAAGCAGGCAAGGTAAATGAGGACTTAATGGAAGGGTGGATTAAAACAGAAGATAAAAAAAGTTGTATGATAAAAGGCTGCAAAACAGGAGCAAGTGTGATATTGATTCTTTCTGAAAAGACTGTTTTCTTCTCTTAAAACTCCAAAAGAATGAACTGGGAGCTGGAAGGATATAGCTGATGTCCTGAACAAGGAGCTGAGGAAGATTCTTTTTTTTCCTGTCTGTGATATAAAAGCAATTCTCTTTGCATGGCTTTCAGCCTGAATGGGAGTACTATGTAGTCTGGTCTTACAGAAATCAAATTAACATGTGGATCTGAAGTTCATGACTGGCTCCTCAGAAAGACAATAACTAAAACTAGGATACCATATCTGAAATTTGTGAAGTTGGCATCTTGAGCAATGAATTGAAATTTGTTGACTGAGGCTCAACCCAAAAAATTCAGCTAATATGCTCCTGTGCTTTCCTTACATAAACTCTTCTTTTTTAATTTGTGAAATGAATGACTCCGTCAGCTGAAAAGATAATTTAACTAGCAACCAAAATAGATGTTTTAAAGGCCTGTTAAATTGATAGTATTTTAAATGTGAATCAAAATTTTTGATGGTAATTTCTCCCATTGAGTGAAACAAGATTGTACAATTCACATTAATTACTGAATTCTAATCCATTTCCCAATGTATGCATTTTAGCTTATATCTTTATAAACATAAGCTCAATGGTTTGTCAAATGCTGGCTTTCTGAGAAGCATGATTTATAATTATTGTCAACCCCATACATGGACAGGTAGTTCCCTTTTAAAAAAGATATATCTCAATGTTAATCAAAGATTATGAATCTATTCATGCTTTTAGTAGTGTTATGAATCTCCAATCAGATGCAAAGTCTCTGTAAAAATATCTTGAAGATTATTGTTTGGGTCATATTTTAGTCTGCTGGGTTTTCCTGAAAGGTGGAATAAAAACAGGAGGAATGTGGTGTTGGAATCCACCTGAAGATTCATGTCACAGTATTAGTGACAAAGTTCACATCCTGAGGAGTGAAGTTTGAGTTTGCAAGATTAATAATAAGAGAAAAGGTGGAACGGAACAAAGCAAGTTGCAAGTGTAAGTTCTGCTGCATGGGCTCTATTTTTCTATCCCTCCATCTTTTAAATGGGTGACAACTCTGTCCCGCTTCATTGCTTTTTTTCTTGTGTGTGTGTCTGCAACAGGCTCTGTAGGATCTGTACAGACTGTACTTATATGTCACTTGCAGTCACTTTGATATTCTTAGCAGCTGTACTGGTCCAGTGGTCAAATAATTTAGCTTTAAGTAAGACTTCTGAAACTGATTCATTATTCAAATATGCTTTATCATGACATTAAATGTCTTCTAGTAAAAATGGTGAATACCTCAAATTCTGTTTAACTTCTCTCTCTGGATAACTCTCTTGATAAACTTGTAAGCAAAGCTGAAGAAGCACAGTCTTGATGAAACTTGCCTGAGATAGGTATTTATTTTCCCAGTTGGAAACCATATCTGGAGATCAATTATCAGTGAAACACAGAACAAATGGAAGTCTTCACCAAGCAAGATCCTGTGCTGCAGTTTGGTCTCACTGATTAGTGGAGGAATTACTGGAAAAAAATATTATTCTTTGGGAGGAGAAAGTAAAAGGTACTTGCTATATATACAGAGGAATATTCAGGTGTAGAAATGCAGAATGAAGAACAAAATACTTGATTCTGAAGAAAATAATAGAGAAGTTATGATGGGTTCAACCTGTACTTAAACCTTCAACAAAAGGATGATGTTTTTATATGAGCTTTATCTGGAAGGCAGGTGTATGTGTCCTTCTAACTTGCTCAGTACTGACAAGTTTTGGGCTTACTTTCCAAAAACAATGTGGAGCAGATCCTGAACCAAGTGGTCAGAACAGCTGACAGGGAAACTGGAAGGATGGGGGCTCTGTTCAGTGTACAAAAGGGACCAGAGCCATTTTCAAACATGTAGAAAGTTGTTGCAGAGAGGAAAGTAACTAGTTCTTTAACACTTTTTCTCTGAATTGGTAAGAAAATACAGACTTAAATTACTCCAAAAAAATTTAGTTTAGCCATTATAAAAGTCATAATTAAAGAACAGATCAGATTGTATTGGGAAAATGTGTGCATTTCCACTGCTGAAGGACTTTAAAACCCAGTTAAATAAGCATCTGTCAAAAATAGCATAGGTACAGTTGATTTTTGACCTCTTTATTTTTTCAGCTTTGCTTTATGTTCTCCAAGTGGATTCTGCCACTTGGATGTTTGTTGTTAAAGCCAGCAATCAAAATAATAATGCAGAAGCAGAGCCCTGTAAAAACAGAGGATCTGGTACAGTTTCTAGTCATGTCATTTAGCCTCTAGTGGAAAGTGCCAAGATATGTGCTTTGGAAGACTCGTAGGGCATATAGCTGCATGTCAGCCTATTTCAATTAGTGTGTTGAAATGGCGGATTACACATCTCTATAAAAATTGAATTGGTCTCATCCCTGAAATTACAACAAGCCTGAGGATCCAATGGAAAAATCAAATCTTGAGCACCTCGATTTCTGGGGGCACTAAAATGCATCATACCACTACCCCTGTGGCACTCTGCTGCCATTGCTCATCCCCTCTGGATGTCCCTTCTCCCACAGTATGGGGGTCACAGGGACAGGGACACACTGATAGGGAGCAGTCCCAAATGGATGGCTTTCTGCTCAGAGTGTGTTGGCTGCTGAGTTGCTGGTGAGCACTGGGAGCCTTAAGTTCTGCAGTTTTCCAAAGGCTTCCTCTCTTGAGAGCTTGTATTCAGATTATTTAAGCGTGAAGTTTAGATGGATTTTGAGTGTTTAATGATACAGCAACGTCTAGCTCATGGTACATTCTAACACACCATCCACTTATAATCATCGTATGCCCCTTCTAGGAGCTCAGGTGAGCTGAGGGTTTGTAGTTTCCCTTGTGTGCTCAGCTACTTCCCACTTTCAAGTCCTCTCTTCAAATTCATCTGTGGCTCACGCCACCACCCAGCATGCATGCCTTCCCCAAGCTCTGGGGAGATCTGCCCCATTACAGGCTGAGATGGGAACATTTCTCAGATTTCGTTACTTTTGCTTCCTGCCAGTTAGTGAGGGGATGCCATTGTCTGAAGCTGTTGGACACAACTGTTGTTGGTCCCTTCTACCTCTTGTGTGCTGTACACAAGTAGCAGCCTCAAGCAGAGTCAGAGGCTCAGCCTGTTGTGCCTCAATCCCAGAGGCAGCCAAGCAGTGATATTTCCTGGTGCCTGTCCTGCCTGTGCTGAGTCTGCAGCAGTGGATGAGCCGGTCATGGACAGGCCCTAAGAGCCACCAAAATACATGTAGCTGTCAAGAGGGAGGCTGACCGCTGACAGGTCTTCCCACCTCATGTAGGCTGGTGACTAATCCTGAGGGAAAAGCAGATGGGAAGCTGAGGCTGGGCAGTCAGGCAGGTTCCCTGGGGAATGGAGGTTAGCCCTCTGCATGTGGATACATGCTCTGTACATGAATGTAGTGACATTTCTGTTTCTCTGACATCTTCTCTAAAAACTGTGCTCCAGGATGTCTTGCTCACTGGATGTGGGTGGATCTGGTATTGCATTTTCTTGTGGTCCAAGGCACAGAGTACTTGGGAAAAGGTCTTAGGAGGTGTTATTTCCATAACACTCATGCTTAGGGATTGGGGGAAGAAGGGACGGGAAGAATTGTGAGGCTAACTATCATAAAAAGTAAAAAACACCTGCTTTCTTGGATGCTGCATGCTTGAGCTCTAAAAGTACTGGTTTCTAGACTTCTACAAAAGTCAGTGGCATTACTGTGTTACTGGATTTGTTGCCTCAGTTTTTAATTCAATAGTGCTGTGAAAAACATAGAAGTACTGGGGGACAACTCCAGCAACTTCTACCACCAGTCCATAATCTCCACCTGCCTTCTTCCCTGTCTCTCACAGCCCCTGTGGGTAGTGCCAGCCGTCATGAAAAATGCAAACTAAGTATTTTTGCACAATGTCAGCGTGACTGTAGCTCATCAGGGAGGGCTGCCATACCATGAAGCTCTTTAGATGTGGTTTGGGGTGACAAATGGAAATCGCAAAAGCCGGGCACACAGGTTAGCTGCTCCCCACTTACACCCATACTGCATTTT